AGTTCATGGTTCTTGAAAGCCACCCCTTGGCAGCCACTCGTTTCTTATACATCATGGACAAGTCTGGGACCAACGCCATGGCTTAGGCGTGAAAACAACAAGAATTAAAGCAAATGGTCCACAGTAACAGCAAAAGAAAAATCAACAGATCTTGAAACTCTTCTTGGCACAGAGCCAAACAACTGAGAGCTCAAAACTCATCAGAGTAAGGTCCAGTACTCACTTGACCAAAGTCAATCACCATCAGCCTGGTGCAAAACAAAGCAAGCTCACAGCACCCCATCTCAACTGGCTGTCACCGGCTTGCACTTACTGCACTGCACATCCAAAGGCTCCGTCCCGGGTTTCGGCACCAAAATGTCACGGAACTCAGCATCAAAAATCTCAGCTCATTCTTGTAGGCCGTTTATAACTCAACTTGAACCACGGCACAGAAAACACAACACGGCAAACCGCCGCCATCAAAACCAGTAACCACGGCACACCTCCGCCATCAACACACACCAAAAAACCTCCAACTCAAGGCTATCGAAAACCCGACTCCCGAACCTTCGGGCCGCCACTCGCCCCCGGCCGTCGGTCAGCTGACCGCCGGAGGCGACCAATCCGAACCCGCAGACGCCGTCTCTCGGCAGCACCGACTGAATCAGACGGTCAGCGCCGATCGAGGCGACCTCTATTCGTCCGCATCACCAATAATTCCCGAAAGAGGCGCCTAAATCAGTAACAGTACTGATAGGAGGCTCACTGGGCGATAGTTAAGGGGGTCGAGACGACACCCCTTCTTGTAGATGGGCACAACGTGTGACAGTTTCCAGAGAGCAGGCAAGACTCCCTCTGACAGTGACAGCTTGAAGATCCGGTGCAGTGGTTGTGCTAGCTTCGAAGCGCAAGCCTTTAGCAGGTGAGGGTGAAGACCATCCGGCCCCATGGCGGAGTTGACGCACAGTTGGGAGAGTATTGTCCTGACGTCTTCTACTGTGAACTCAACATGTTCAAGTATCTCGTCACATGACTGGTGAGAAGCTGGGTTGGGTAGGTCCTGATTGGAGAACGTTTCAGCAAACGCCTCAACAAAAACATCTGCCATCGACTTCGGGTCGTCGATGATCGATCCCGAAGGCGCCTTCAGCGGTCCGACTGATGACCTGCATTGTTTCTTGTGGCGCAGATAGGCATGGAGCAGTTTCGGGCTTTCTTTCAACTTAGACAAGAGAGTCTTCTCGTAGTCGATCTGCGAGCGAACGGCAAAGTTGCGGAGTTGTTAATTTACGCCTAAGAAATCATTCAGTCGTGATCGGGTTGTTGGCGCTTGCTTGCCGTAGGATGCTCGGGCTTGTTTGTATGCTGACCAGGTGGATGCTCGTCGACGTTTGAGCGAAGAAGGTGGGTTGGTTTTCCATGGGACCCGGTGAGCCTTTCCTTGCTTGGCAGTTGGTATCAGTTGAGATATCAGTCTCAGTGGGCACAAGATGTCCATCAATCTCTTGAGTGCTTCTTGCGCAGTGAGGAATTGGAATTCGAAATCCCAGTCTATGTCTGCCAAGATGGCATTCATGTCTCCATATCTCCCTCTTTACCATAAGAGGTGCTGGAGCGAGGTGTGTTGCAATGCGATTTCAACATCAAAGAAGTACTGACAGTGGATGCTGCAGTGGTCACAGCCAGGAGGAGGAGCTTGGACCGACACCAGCCCCATTCGATCGTTCTCGTTTGTTAAGATCAAGTCAAGAATGTTCCCCGAGCGTGGGAATGTGGGCTCCGTGACCCACTGCGTCAAGCCGAGCAGATCGAACAAGTTGCTGAATCGGGTGTCAGATGCTGAGGCGTGTCTCGTCGGGTCGTCAGGTGAGCTCCAATCTATAGTGGGGAGATTGAAATCGCCTAGGAGCACGGCTTCCTTGTCGATGCAGCTACTTGTGAGAAATGATTGCAGTCATTGTCAGCAGCTGAGTATGAAGGGGGCCTGTACACCACGTAAATGTATGTGTCGAACCTGGTCATGCGGAATGACAAGACATTGCGGAATGAAGCGTTGACATTGTCGATTTGAAGATGTTCAGCCACATAAGCCGCCACTCCGTGAGCTTTGGTCGTTCCGCTGTCATTTCGCATGAGCTTGTACCCCGGAATTTGAATTGCTGCGTCGGAAACCTCCGCTGTAAGATGCGTCTCAGAAACCAGGAAGATGTCCGTTGAAGAATCAAGCTGAAGTGTGTCTTGGAGAGAAGCTATCTTGCTGCAGAGCCCGTTCACGTTACAATGTACAATGCTAATGGGGTACGTGTGCGACGTTTTTTCATTCTGCCTCAGTTTCCCAGCTGAGCGCGATCAGAGGGAGCGTCGGGTGGGCTTTCGCCCTGTGCGGGTCCGTTCAGTGGAGGATCAGAACCTGTGACATTGTCCCTGGCCGAGATGTTAGAGCCGGCGGACGTGGAGACGGCATCAGAGTCGGCATCGGTCGTAGGGTGGTCATCTCGCGGCTGTGAAGGAGCTTCTGCCGAAGGTTCCGTTGGTCGTTCTGTGGTGGGCGGGGTGGGTTCCAAATGGGCTGGACCTCCCACGGATCTGTCACCTCCAGACGAGCCATCCGCTGGTGCAGGGCTGGGCGGAGGAGAAGACATGCGCCGAGGCTGTCCAGGGACTGGAATCGTGATGGTGGTCTTGGGTCTCGTCTGGTACTCCCGGTATCTGGCCTGGATCTCCATTCGCTGGAGGTAGGTGAGATCCTTCTTTATGTAAACGTGAGAGAAGGGAGAGTCTTTGAGCGTCTTCGCCTGCTCCAGGATGATCTTCCTCTGACGATTGTTGTGAACGTTCCCGCGGTACAGGTCGGCGTTGTTCTTGATACATGTTTCAGAGAGGACGACTTTCTCCCCAATGAGAGATTCAGTGACCTCCGCAAATTTTGCAGTAGCTTCTGCAGTTGATGCTGCCCTTAGTCCCCTGATCACAAGAGACGACCTCCTCTTCTTCCGTTCATCCAGCTCTAACAGCTCCTCTCGAACCATCATCCTGTACTCCTGGGTGTGGTGGTGCTGTTGGTTCGACTGGGGTTGGTGGCTTGTTGACATTTCCTGGGTCAGTGTGTGGGCTGCAGGACCCTGCCTTGGAACCCTAGAAATTCTAGAAATTCCTGTCAGCGCTTCTGCATATGTGTGCCCAGTACCTTCCCTTTCTGTGTGGGGAGACTCTCTGATTTGAGAATGGGTGTTGCTGTTGAGTGCCTGTATCTGGTTAGACATATCAGTGATGTGGGTCTTGAGAGTTTTTTCCAGACTGTCAACTTTCCTGAACAGCTGTGACAAGGCGCCGATATCGGACAAACCTTCAGTGGTCACGCTTTCACATCCAGAGTCCAGCTGCAGAGATGGCGTCAGCAGGGTGCTTGTGACGCCCTCGTCCTGCGAGGCCTGTGTGGCTGCGTCCTTCATGGGTGCTCTTGGCTGGAATTTGTCCAGGTTTGGCATTCTTTTGCACATGCTGCAAATGAATGAAACAACATCATGCTTCTTCAGAGCATTGTACGCACTTTTTGAGATGTCTTGGCACAGAGCATGGAACCAGCTTTGGCATATGTCACATTTTGCCCCTTGTTGGTTGTCCTTAACTTCAAGATTGCATGTTGGATTTCCTGGTCCCCCTCCACATATGACACTTGCATCAGCTGGGTGCCGAGCTATGGTGGGGGACACAAGTGTGCCAACGTGAAGTGGAAGGGTCATAATAGCAGCTGCTACTGTGCCAAGAGATTCTTCCCCTGATGGGTTTATCTTTGTTTGTTGTGATTGTGGGGTTGAGTCAATGGGCTGTGAGGTCTGGATGTTGTGCTGTGGTGCATCCATGTCAGGCTTAACTGGTGTTTGGGTATCTGAAGTGCAGGAGGTAGATCGTGTGCTGACCCTCTGCTGATCTGACTTGCGGTTTGGCAGTGGGGATCTTGAGACAGGCATTCTTGAAGTATACAAGCACAGCAGTCGGCAATATGTGTGATCTGTGGTCTAGCAAACAACTAAGCGTATATACAGCTGAAGCACTGGCAGTCCACAGGCAGATACGAGCAGGTGTCGCAGGAAGTTCAGATCCACTCCTGGCTAGGACAGACCACCAAATAATATGATGCCCATTGCCCCCCTGATTTGCCTTTGGGGGGGGCCAGGGCCCTGATGGCCCCCCCCCCCTCCCTGCGACCGCCACTGATCCCGCCATTCATTTTGAGCCCAAAATGCTCGCATATGCCCATACTGTATAACTCCCATTGGCCCGACGCCAAAGTGGGGTGATTTAGAAGACCTTTGCCTATCAAACCACGCATTTTATATAGTCAGAATCTACTTCTCCATGCTAAATATCGTGGAAACCATCATGAAAACACTGAAATGGACAATACTTTTTGATGTATCACACTTATACCAACCGTATTTCAATTTCGCACAACAAAATTACACTACCGACGCCTACCTATATACACACGGCCTTGACCGACGCCAATTCGATGTTTACACCGGCTTGGTTTACGCGCCATGCGTGCGAAGTACGGCAGAATTGTAACGTAAAAAATGATCTAGAATACTATAAAATATAAAGAATAAAAATATATTGGAAACAAAATATCGCCTTATGTAACAAAAACAACCTAACCTCATCTGAACTAACCTGACCTACTGATTTTGCTTACCCGGGGATAAGAAAACAGTTGCTCGCATGAATGGATTGCAAGCAATGGTAAGTCAAATATTTTTAGGTGAAGAGGTTGCGCATCGGGCTTAAGGCCTTCGGCCTGAAGCCAGATACACAACCACTTAACCTAAAAATATTTGACTTACCATTGCCTGTAATCTCTCTTTTAAGGCATTGCCTTCGGCACTGCACTGCTTCGCCCCGAGTACGTGGCAGCACGTTGCCCTACAGTTTATGTAATAATTTAGTGCACTCATCTCTAATCAAATTATACATAATTAGCGCACGTAAGGCTATCTATGGCGCCTGAAGCAATGCCAGGGTATATTGAGAAGCAATGCTGCTGTGTCTGTCTATAGATGGCCTTGGTGTGTGTAGCTCCGTGATATAATTGAAACCAAGGCCATATATTGAAACGATTGAAACTTGAACTGATTAAACTGATACGAGGGAGCTTATAGAATTTCGTTTTTGGGGTAAGTACATCGAATTTCAGCGATTTGAAGTCCTTTTTCTGGGAAATTTGACACGGAGAATCCGATTCCAGGCATCAAAAATCATTCGCAGGCTGTTCGTACCTATCGGGCGTATTACCCTAACAACACATTCAAAATAAGGTCCACCAAAATCAGGCGGACGACGTGAAAACAGGGCGCCTGGGGCGATTTGATCAAGTTTCGTGAAATTCACACGTGACGTTTAGCACGTAGAAGGCCGACAAAGGGGGAGAAGTTCCAAATGTCACGTAACTAATATGCCCTCCGGCACCCTGTTTTCACCGGCGTCCAATCAGGCCTGTCACGATTGTGTTGCAAACAAATAAATGTTCAAAACATAGCTTAAATCTACAGGTTCGACATAGCGAAATTTCATTGCAGTCGGGGGAGGTTTGGTTAATCATCATTTTTAGCACTTGCTATTTTTGTCACACGTGGCAAAAATGGCAATGATTCTGCTATTTTCTTACAACGATGAAGCCGATTTCAGTATTAGTATATATTAGGTCCGAGTGGACAATTGTGACGCTGTTGATACAAATATGTAACAGCAAAAAAATTAGGTTTTAGGTTAGGTTAGGTTGTAGGTTTGTAGCAGGCCCATGTCACTTCACTTTTGATGACATCATAAGGGGGTCTCAGGACAATTAATGGCGCGGTGCGCCACAATCGCTCCCAAGCTACTGGCCAACAACTGCCATTTTTGAAAATATTATTTTGAAATAAAGTTCCAAGTAATGAAAATATTGTAATAAAGTTGTAACTTAAATCTATAGCATAACTAAAAACTTACTTAAAAATGAATTATCCATAGTAAAAATATAAGCTCGATGCGTTTTTACGTTGCTTTCCTGCTGCTGCAGAGGGTTTTTAAATCGTCTATATCTTCAAAACCGGCCATTTCTTAGCATATTGCTGCTCTTTTTTGTCGCTGGAAAATTAGTTGAGCTTTCCATTGACATCAACGGCTGAGCGGTATGTGTAGAGTGCCATCAATAATCTTCAAATGAAGTTAGTCATTTTTACGTTGCAAAGGAATGGAGTACCCCTTGCGAGCATCAGGGGTGACGTCACTCAGGATCTGTCTCTGATTGGTCGGCGGGGGAGTGACTGTACCTTCTATAGATGGCCTTGGTTTGTAGGTTTGTAGGTTAGGTAAGGTTAGGTTAGGTTGTAGGTTTGTAGGTTGTAGGTTGTAGGTTGGTAGGTTGTAGGTAAATAGGTAAGATTAGGTCAGGTTTGATTATGTTTTTTCTTTTATTTCCAGGACATATAAGTATCATTTTTGGATTCAGGATGTCAAATAATGTAAGAATATGAAAACTTTATCATTTAACAGTCACTCGGACTCAATGTATACTTTTACCCCGATTTCACTCCTCAGCGAGGAAATCAAGATTTTGGAAAGAAAAGCACTGATTTTCGAAAAGAATTGCTGCCACCTGGTACAAGAACTCCGTCCCGAGCCTTCGTCCTGAACGGTTGTCCTCGCCTATCCTCCCGCAGCAACAACCCTTCCGTTTATTGACACGGAAGTAGTGAACCGATCTGTACAACAAGAATAGGTTTCTGATACAAAGAAGTTCAATATTACTCGACTAAATTGCACGTGCGGAACCAAAAATAAATTGGTAGTGGCACTGGCAACTCATGGCGGGCAAGAAGAAAGGAGAGAAAGAAAGCGCGGGAAGTGCTACCGGCGAAAACGACGCATAACTAGAAGATGAGAGTGCGAGCTTGAGTGCGAGGAACGGTAAGGCGATGGTGCCTGATTGCAAGCAAAAACAGAAAACTGCAAAAAGAAAGGTAAGAGATGGGAAAAACGATACCAGAGACATGGACAGGGGCGTGACACAGGAACAAACCGTCGGAGACTCTTGTGCATGTGGGGACAAGGTCGATGATGAAAGCGAGGGTATAGAGTGTGAAATATGTGCAAAATGGTGTCATCCAACATGCGAAGGCCTTGATCAGCATGGACTAGCGGCAGTTGAAAATCACAGTCTGTTCTGGATTTGCAAAAAGTGTAAATCATATCTGAAGGACTTCAAGGAAGTAGTAAGGAAGGGAAAAGCCAATCCCGAAAAGAGGGGAAGTTCAGATGAAAATACTGGATCAGACGAAAGCGGTGGGACAGAGAAGCGGCTCAGGGAGCTGGGTGAGACAGTAGAAAATGTTGCTAGAGCTTTGATTGTCCAAAAAGAGATTATGATGGAAATAGGTACAATGATCAAATCGCAAGAAACAAAATCATCAGAGAACTTGAAAACTGTAGTGAAAAAGGCTGTTCAGGAGGAAAGTGTGTCATATGCGGACATAGTCAAGCAACTCACTGACAAGCTAGAGAAAGAAAACACATCCAAACCAACTGAACAGGCCAAAGAGCTGCGAAGTATGTTTGTAGACTGTCTCGAACAAGACAAGAGAAGGCGAAACATCGTGGTCTTCAATGTACCTACCTGAGCAAAACATTGAACTTCCCTTGGACGAACAAGCTTCCAAAGACCTTGATAATGTGAAGGAGCTTATGAAGCAGGGATTAAAGATGATAATCCATCCAGAGAAGGTGGTTCGAGTTGGAAGGCGCAAGGAAGACAAAGATAGGCTCATACCTAGTAGTAACACTTCGGGACGAGGGCGAGAAATGGGAGCTGCTGAAGATGGCGAAGAAACTTCGAAATGCAGGAAGCAGGTTTGAAAAAATATACATAGCTCCAGATCTGTCACCAGCTGAGCAATTAAGGGATAAGAATCTTAGAAAACAGTTGAAAGAACGCAGGGAAGCAGGTGAATATGTGATAATTCACAAGAACAGAGTCATCAGAAGGGAAGATAGACCTGGTCTAAGGTCATCCAGCACTGTATCATACTGACATGATCCGGGAAGAAGAGTTGTGAAAAGGAAAATGAAAGACTCATCAGCTAGAAGGCTCAAGGTTTATTACACAAATGCGGACCAATTGCTGAATAAGATGACTGATCTAAAAGTGCATATTCACGAACGCGAACCTGATGTCATAATTGTTACAGAGGCTATTCCCAAACCACAGGCTAACCCCATACCACAAGTATGTCTTCATGTAGACGGGTATACAGAACACCTCAACTTTGACTGTGATCTCTGTGGGCAAGCTCCGCAGGGGCGAGGTATAGTCATCTATGTTAAGGATTACCTTGAAGCTCAAGCAGTGAAAAGCTTTGGGTTTGACCGGGACCAGCTCTGGGTGAAGATTCTGATTGGCCAACATGATTATGCATTGCTCGGTGCACTGTACCGGAGTCCGTCACTGACATTAAATGAATCTGTTCCAGCAATTGTATCAATTATGAAGGAAGCTGTTAAAATGAATCCTCCGTGCTTGATACTGTGCGGAGACTTTAACATCAGAGATATTGATTGGAGGTATGAGAGGAGCCTCCCAGGAGCTCCCCTTGACGTGGAAACCTTCCTTCAGGGCATCAGGGACTGCCTCCTTTTCCAGCACATCCTTGAGCCTACAAGGTACAGGCCAGACTTGTGACAGCTCGCTCAGCTCAACTCCGTCTTATCCGCTCCCGCTCAGCTCCCGCTCAGTTTAACGCGGCTCAGCTCAGCTCACGTTCCGCTCAAACCGGCTGCGCTCCGCTCACGCTCAGCTCAGCTCAGCTCAGTTTCCGCTCAGCTCAGCTCAGCTCAGTTTCCGCTCAGCTCAGTTCCGTTTCCGCTCAGCTCAGTTTCCGCTCAGCTCAGCTCAGTTTCCGCTCAGCTCAGCTCAGTTTCCGCTCAGCTCAGCTCAGCTCAACTCAGTTCCCGTTCAGCTCAGCTCAGTTTCCGCTCAATTCAGCTCAGCTCAGTTTCCGCTCAATTAAATTCACGCTCAGATCGTTCAGTCGTTCTTTTTAACCCTCGCCCTGGCAGGGGGGTTGATGCAACCCCCCCCCTAAGGTTTTTCGAAGATAGCGTGAAAACGGCGGCGCGCAGAAATTTGGCACAGCCTATGGGGCAACCTTTTTACACATGACCTGAAAGTTTCAGGTCCGGGTGACCTTGAATCAGGTCACCAGGTCAGAAAAACCGGTACAAGGTCATGGTCAAATTTCAATTTTCTTTTTGCACCTGTCCAACTCCAACTTGCACCTGTCCAACATATAGTTCGAGTTTTTTATGTCACTGACCTGAGGTCAGTTAGAGGTCATTACGTCGTAATGTTAAGCCTATGGGAAAATACTAAATTCGGAAAATACTGCAGATATTCGCTTCGTTCTATCACTTGTGCTTTGAAACCACAGTACTTAAAGGGACACTCCCACCTTAAAGGTAGTGTGCCAGCTTTCCTGGACCGTATGGAGTTAATGGCCCAGATAAGGAGAACCGGATTTTTAGAACTTATCCATACCTTCAAAACTCATGGAAACGTCTTAAATTCTTCAAATTTTGAGTACCCCAGTGCGAACTTCGCCCCGACGGGTTGTCGGTCGTACCCCAACCACATTTCACACCACTATGAACAATAAATGCACACACTGAAATCGCTATTACCGATATGCTCATCCAATCAAGTTTCGATAAACCCGTTCATCATCATCTCCTGCGGTTTCGAACACGCCTGTTAGGTGGTGCGGTAGACCGCGCCCAAAGCCAGGGCCCCGGTAACGTGAGGTAGCCGAGTCGGGGCAGCGTGCGCTGATCCAAGCCGGGGCCGCGCGTCCTCCCGGTGTCATGTGATAGCCCGGGGCTGCCCGCGGGGATGCGGTAGACCGCGCCCAAAGCTGCGGCCCCGGCTTGGGTCAGCGCACGCTGCCCCGACTCGGCTACCTCACGTTACCGGGGCCCTGGCTTTGGGCGCGGCTTCTGCTCATACTTTGTGGTGCGGTGGTGGTGCGTCGGGCCGCGCGCTCTGACTTCGGCCAAGAAAAATGCGTCAGCTGATCATTGTCATTTCTGCCACTTGCGTGTGGTGAAATGGGGTCATAACTTAAGAGACGGCTTTTTCATATCAATTATTTTACATAAAATCATATTTCAAACCATAAATAATGCTCGACAGCCAAATAAAAGAAACAATACCAATACAGGCTTACAGTTTAAGGCTCGACATTGTGTTGTCTACGATTAGACAGCTGGTAACTGATTCCCGTACGTCGTAACTCTATAATGACCTTTGCTTATTGTCACATGTGCGCCGCATTCGCGATTGTTGCCGACGCCTGTTTGCAGGTCAGCCCACTACAGTTGTTATACATATCGAAAAACCGATAAACTTTTAGGCGAAAAAGGCACTATTCCAGGCCCATTTTTGATTTTTTTGCGATATTAGGTAAAAACAGAAGCTTCTTATCCTAGGAAAAATAAAATGGGAAATCTTTCAAAGGTGGCACACTACCTTTAACATTAGTTTTGAGTTGAGATAGCCAAATTGGTGGCCATGGCCTGCAAATACCGGTTTGGGCACTCACAACATCGAAAAATGCTTTAAAATGCTGAAAAATGCTTTTAATTCGAAGATATGGAATTTCAAACTTGCAGTTTTCGGATTCTAAGGGGCTAATGCATTGGAATGCCCCCTTAGAATTTGTGACGTCAGCGGAGATCTAACGATTTTTAAATCTTAGACTAAAACCATCGTTAACACGTGGTGGTATACGCTGCTTTGCGCGCAACGTCTGCCGCACTTTAAGGCTGCCAAATTATTGCTTCCAAATAAAGTCGCTAGTAACAGGGGAGATCCCAAAAAGTAAACAAAAGTAAAAGCCTAATATCTTGAAAACCAGTGAATATTTTTCGGTGAAATTTGGTAGATATTCGTTTTCGCTCTTTCTGAACCAAGGGACATCACTTTCATGCCAATTCATTAACTTTTTTGAAGGTGGGAGGGTCCCTTTAACAGCAGGTCACTTGGTGCTTCTTTATTTGGTGTACTTATCCATGGGTCAGGTCAAATGAGGTCAACTGAGGTCAAATGACGTTTTTGCCAATAACTTGGCACATAATAAAGCTAGAGCTTAAAAATGGTATCATTGTGTTCCTGGTGATTAGCCGAATCGAATGATATACGATATGATGCAATTTGGTTAACTTGAACTTAATTAAGTAATTAAGGTTGACTTAAGAATTAAGAAAAACTTCAAGTACACTAAAGCAAGCAAAAAAGTATATCATTCGACGCGCCTTGACGTGCTGAGTTCACTGGTGCTTTTTCTATCTTAATTAGATCAAAAGTTATAAGCGAAAAACGTTTGACCTGTTTTTAGCGAAATTTTTACATTTATATCCCCCAAAACCTCCCTAAATATTGACCTAGAGCAACCAAATTTGCACAGGGGCGAGAACTCCAGGGGGCCCACCTACCTACCAAATTTGGTGTTTCTAGGTGCCATAGGAGCGAATCGCGAGGGGGGGTCGCATCACCCCCCCCCCCCTGCCAGGCCGTGTTATGAAAAATGCCAGTGCCTGGGGTGGGGCAGTGCCCCACCCCACTTTCAATAGGATATGGTTGCTTAGCCCACATTCAACCAACGAAGAGGAACTTTATTTGCTAATTCCTAATTGTAAATATTTTATGCAGAGGTAAGAACCCTTATTGATAAAATTAATTTAAATAACTGCTTAAATAAGAAAGTGAAGAATGCTGAATTGTAAATTGCGGAGCAGAGTGTCAAGGCGAAGCATCAAAGCCTGACAGTAGGTATTCATCTTGCAGTCAGACTTGACACCTGAGACTGGCTGTATTAGCCTGTAAATTGGCCAAGACCCTGGTCTTCCAATTTCCATGCTATATGGATGAAAGAAATTAAGGCTGTGGCCGTTACGGCCCTGGGCAGACACGACACAGATCACGCATCTTGAGGAGTGTCTCTTTTCACTAGCACTATCAAGCGTTGTATCGGCCGGTCGTACTGAGCTGCGCTCACCGCTACTCTCACTTTTCGGATCAGTTCATCCGCACTCGGATAGGTCAAGACCACACGCCCCAGGCGCCACTGGGACCGCGTAGGTCGTCGTCCACGACTAGGATGACGTCGCCAGTTTCCACGTTCTCCCGAACGCGGGTTGACTTGCTCCGCTGCTGCTGGGCGGTCAGAAATTCCCGTTTCCATCGCTCCCAGAAGACGTTCAGGAGGTGTTGCACACGTCTCCAGCGTCGCCGTCGACTACAGAATGATGTTCCACTTTTCACAGGCAATTATTTGCCTGGAGTGGTAGGCTGTGCCGCATCACACGGGCTGAGTTAACAAATTATAGCTTTGTCCCAATGCTCACAATCGACACGCTTAATTGCGTGATAAACGACACAACTTAGTGCTCCGGTCAACTGATAGCTTCTGAGGAGTGGAACATCATTCTGTAGTCGACTATACAGGTCAGGAGGGGCGAAGGAGCCGGGAGGAGGCAACACAACCTCATGTTTCATCGTTAGAAGCATGATGGAACTCAGTGGTTGGAGGTCAGACTCAGTGACGTCTACAGGCAGTGGCGGTCGCAGGAGGGGGCCATCAGGGCCATGCCCCCCCCCCAAAGGCAACTCAGGGGGCCATCATATCATTTGCCCCCCCCCAAACAACCGATGGGCCCCATGGGCGTATAGGGCCCTGGCCAGCATTCGATTGTCACGAGGCTCGAGAAACCCACGCCAGCTATTAACAGCTCCCATACCGGTCTTTGAGGGTCCTACACTAGCCTCTGAGGCCCCTTCAGTGGCGGTCAAGCGCTCACATTGATCGCTGAGGACCCACACTGACCCACATTGACCCACATTGACATTGACCTCTGAGGGCCCTCCACTGGCCTTTGAGTTTTTGTTTTCATAAAATCTTTTTTTTTTTGCTCCGTGAGAAGGTAGACCGGCCCGAGCGCCTACAGTGCACTCGTGTTCCCATAAGCTGCCGGAAACGAGCACGAAAGTGTCCCGCTCCCTCCCTATTTCAGGCAGGCACACCCTGGCCTGTCTGCACTGTCCGAACGATAGTGTCCCGCTCCCTCCCTATTTCAGGCAGGCACACCCTGGCCTGTCTGCACTGTCCGATCGGCGAGCTCAGGCACACCCTGGCCTGTCTGCACTGTCCGATCGGCGAGCTCAGGCCACGCTGGCCTGTCTGCACTGTCCGATCGGCGAGCTCAGGCACACCCTGGCCTGTCTGCACTGTCCGATCGGCGAGCTCAGGCACACCCTGGCCTGTCTGCACTGTCCGGTCGGCGAGCTCAGGCACACCCTGGCCTGTCTGCACTGTCCGATCGGCGAGCTCAGGCACACCCTGGCCTGTCTGCACTGTCCGATCGGCGAGCTCAGGCACACCCTGGCCCACAGCGCAGGGCCTCAGGCCACGCTGGCCCACAGCGCACCAGGGCGCAGACCTTTACGTGCTTCACTAGCAAAAAAGAGTATTTTATATCGATCCGCGTTCTTTTTTCAAATCCATGCAAAATTATTGAGGCGATTGGAGCACGTGCAACCTTAAAGGGACTATCCCACCTTTAACATGGGGTTTGAGTTGAGATAGCCAAGTTTGCGGCGAGGTTCAGAAACCACTATCTATTTAGGTTGCAACCCCCGCGGCCTCTTGGTGTTGAAGAAATTCGTTCCCTTCATTTGAAAATGGGCCTTGTACAAGGCCCATCTTCAACATGGAGCGACCGTTAGTGTGACGTCACCTAGTTTAGTCATTCTGATTTAAATGGGTTTGTTCGTTGAAAAATCGCTTAAAACTTGGTCTGAACTTTGTTGTGGTGCCTACAGAGTAAAAAGAATCAGCTTTATGACAGTAATGTGGCCTGGGGAAGGAGGTAATTTTGGGCTGTGACGTCACATATTTGAAAGTTTGTGTTTGGAATATGGGAAGCCTAAGATGTTAATGAAAAATAAATGCCAGAACCGTGTTCCTGGTCTTCCAATCTATAAAGTTGGGCACAATTTAACTGGTTTTAACAACATTTTAGAAGGTGGGATAGTCCCTTTAACCCTCGCCCATGTAGGGGGGGGGGGGTTGGTGCAACCCCCCCCCCCCTGAGGTTTTTCGGAAATAGTGCAAAAACGGCGGCGCGCAGCGCCGCCAAATTTTGGGCACCTTATGGGGCAAACCTTGCGCATCTTTTGATAAAAAAAAATTTGACCGGGTCATGTCAGGTCACGGAGTTATGACGTCACAAAGGGAACAGCCTCCGGCCGGATTTTCACAAACTGAGTGCCAACGCCCGAGGTTTCCTGCCGGTGGTACGGACATCGGTTGATGGATCGTGATGAAACTTCCCATGCATGTTGGGGCAAGTATTGGCTATCATATGGTATAAGAAACTTGACCGGGTCAGGTCAGGTCACGGAGCTATGACGTCACAAGAGGAACAGCGTCCGGTACTATTTTTGAAAAGCGCCCGAACCACTATTTTGCTAATTCTTGTCACCTCAATGGGAATATGCAGCAATATTAGCTTCTATAGGGAGCAAATGGACCTTCCAAATCCAAAAATACAATCAGATTTCAAAAATGTAAATTTTGATTTTTCGAATTTCTGCCGCCGACTGTGACCTTGCCGACTTCCGGCGCTCCCAACGCGCCATTTTTAGAGCTAGGGAAACGAAATACATACCAAACGATAGAGAATTGATCAAGGAACACGATAGTGAAGGTTTCAAGTCGATATCTCCCACCGTTTTGCCGCAATCGCCGCGGAAAGTTGAAAAAAGTCTATTTTTCCGAAAATTTGACCTTTGACCGGTCAAAAGTAGGTCAAATGTTGACCTAGGACCAAAAAATATACCACCAATCGCGAGATCTCGGCGAGAGCAATCCGTTGGTCTTTTCCGCTAAGCTCTACGACGCTCCGTTTTCAAACGCCAAGGGGGGGGGTCGCACCAACCCCCCCCCCCTGCATGGGCGAAGGTGGCAGATCGCCGTTTACGGGCGAGGGTTAAGCTGTATGAATGGTTTTCTCACCCGTAAAGCTCACGTGTATCACTGTTTTCAGGCTCAGAGCGGGTCATCATGTCCAAGCTGAAGCTGTACTATGACCTTATGTCCCAGCCATCCCGTGCAGTCGTCATGTTTTGCAAGCTTACCAAGATTCCATTTGAGGATCATCCAGTGGCTCTGCGCAAGGGTAAGAACGTTCGTGCAGGATATAATTGGGATTGGAAGGTGCTAGATATTCCCTTACCGTTATTATTGTTGTTGTTTATTGGGACTTTAGGGCGCGTCGACTATCACACCTTTTGCGTCAGCTTTTGACCATTGGACATTTGTACACACTCGCCATATAGGGGGCGCTACAAATGGACGGTTGTCACAAATATCGGGGTTACATGAGCACAGTAAATACGTATTTAGCCGCTAATTCGAATTAGGAACGCATCACCGACTCATGTAGCCACCTGCTAGTACGAATCGGCGATCCGATCCGCGGTTACATGAGCAAAGCAAATACGTATCACGATCGGATTCACCGCTAATGCGAATCAGGAGCGTACTACCGACTCATGTATCCACCTGCTAATACGAATCGGCGGTCCGAACAAAATCCGCAGAGAAAGAGGCTTAGAAGCGAATAGGACCAAGATACGTATTACAGGAACTATTTCTTTCCAAAAAGAAACATTAAAATGCAAAATATGGGTATTTTTCATTTGCTTCTTTTGAAATAATAATCAAAAAAATATGTCGGTATTTTGTCAAGTTTTCAAAAATAAATATAGTTAAAACCAAAAAGAAAATATTAAAGTACTTTCAGTTGAAACATTTTTCTGACAGCACTACAGACGAATCAAGAGAGGGGTGAGACTAAATGCTTACTTCGAAATCTAAGCTGCGTTGCGGCATTGGCGGTTATGTGCGGCGTGTATGCCGCATGATTAGTAGGTAAGCGGCGACCACTAAATTAAAAACTCAATAGCTTTGACCTGTTTTCAATGGATAACACTGCATACCAAAAATGTCCATCGCTCTCGTCATAGGATATTTAGATTTAAATAACTAACTTATCTACATCATCGTTTTGAACCAAATTAATACTTTCAACTTGACCCTCGCCCGTATTGGTGTTTTTCCAGCCGCGAACGTATAAGGTATAACCCCTTGCCGTTTCGCTCCTGATCAAGCTAGAGCTTCGCGGAAAAAACGAGCGTGTTGCCCGTGACGAGAGGAAGCCGATGATACCCAATTTTAAGGTCCTAGGTCATCGGTTGACCTTCCAGGTCAGGTCAATGACCCAAAAGGCGGAAAATTGGGACCTGTTAGAACGTCGTAGTGTGGCTGCTATGGGGTTTTCCGGGGTGCTGATCACGAATATCACGCTAGTTTTGATCACAGATGATGTCTTCATTCATTTAGGTCGGGTCAGGTCAGGTCAGGTCAACCAGTAGAGGTCCTGCCGGGTATTTGTAGTAGGTGTCAACCGCCTCTGACAGCCTCGTAACATGTTACGAAGGCACCAAAACTACTTTGTAAACGTTCATGAACGCATGAACCACATGACGTGGTTGCTAAATTCGAATTCAGCTCGAAAAACTGGCCTAGAAACATGTCAAACTCGAAAAAGTGAACCGAGGTCACCAAAGGTCAATGACCTGACCTGACCTTCAGGTGACCTTGACACCCACCCTAATGCATGGGGGCAACATCATATCACATGTTTGAACGCTTGAACCCACGAAAAGACTGCAAACGCGCTGCTAATGCGAGCCGACATACGCTGAATCGCGGTTCCGGCCAAACATGGTCTCGAAAAGTAGGTCACAGGTCAAAGGTTATTTGCGTCAGGGTCATGAAATTTTCAGGGTAGGTGTAAAATTGATCAACGCGAGGGTACTAAACGTTACGTCGTGATCAGCCGCTTTTTACGCGAGTTATTCGCGAAAAAACCGAGGGGAGTCCGTTCGACCCCCCCCCCCCCCAAAGGGCGAGGGTTAACTCACAGTCCGAACTCCGAACAAGTTCGGTCTTGTTTGTGAATTTGTCGGAGCATTGTGGCAGGCAAGGGTCGATAAAAGTAATTGTTGATGATGAGAAATTATATTGTAAGTTATGATCAACGCAAGTTCTTGGACATACTTTTATAGACAGACAATTCAAAAACATTCACAACAAAAGCAACCTCAATTTTCAAGGCAAATAAAAATTCGTGACATAAAAAGTAATGCGCGTGGTTGCTAAGGTTACAGGCGGGAAAATAAAAGTGAATCATACAAAGCGCAATTAATCAATAATAATTAAACAAGATAGAATGATATATCGATAATTCGCGAAACTTAAACAATAATTATGTTTCTGTAAAATATACATAAAAATATACATAAGATGCGCCACAATACTTCCCGCCCCAGAGCGGAGCTATATGACATATATACAGACATGAGGCATACAAAAACCAGTTAACACTGTTCGTCACGTAAAACGTTCGCCCGGTGGCCAAAGTTCATCCCGGCGCGGCGGCAAGTTCGTCGCTGTTCAGTGTTCATCACTGTATCGCCCCGTTCCGCCCCCGCGGCTCGCGCAGCAGGCCCCCTCGACGGGTCGGAACCGCTACGGAGTTGGGGCGGAGCGAGGCAGATGGTGGCAATCGAAAGCGCACTCGTCTTGGTGTTCGCGTCGGGGTACTGCCGCTGTCTGGCCTGGTCGTCATCGTCGCTCGGCTGCTACGCGAGTCGGCTGTCGGCTCCTCTCGTGCAGCTTCCCTGTGGGCACGGGCAGAGAACTCGGCAGCAGAGGGCAGTCGTGCAGGCTTTAGGCGATTGATGGACACCGAATCAGTTTCACCAGAGGCTAGTTCGACAATGAAGAACTTGGTGAACCGTTTTACAACGCGCATTGGACCTATGTAGGGGGACTCAAGGGGGCGACGCACTCTATCTACACGTATCCAGACATGCGAACAATTTGCTAGGTCCTTCGGAATATATACATCTTTTGCACTGCTGCCGTGGCAATGTCCTTCCGACATAGTACAGAAATCAATCTCATTCATTCGTCTGGCCAATTCACGGATAAAGTCATGACGGGAAGAACTCGATTCTCCGTCCACTGCGACTCTGGGGAACAGAAGCTGACTACCCGTAACGGCCGTAAAAGAAGACAAGCCCGAATCGTTCGGTAGGGCGCGAATCCCAAGCATTACAACCGGAAGAGCCTGGAGCCACTCCTGTTTTCGTGCCATTATCGCTGCCTTCAGCGTCCTGTGGCTCCTTTCGACTAACCCGTTCGAGCGTGGCGTATATGCAGTCGTTCGCAAACGGTGGAAACCTATCAAGGCTGAAAGGTGACTGAAAAGCTCGGACTCGAATTGACTTCCTCTGTCAGTCACCACATATAAAGGAACGCCGAAACGAGATATCCATACGTCAAGAAACGCCGCGGCTATACTCGCAGCTGAGATGTCAGTTAGCGGGGTCGCCTCCATCCAGCGCGTTGCCCTGTCAATGCATGTCAATAGGTATCGGTACGGAGACGAAAAGGGCTGGCCATTTTGGAAAGACGGCGGGAGAGGACCGACGATATCGATGTGAACGATTTCAAAACGACCGCAAGGAACGTCAAAAAGACCGTTTGCCGACTTCGTGTGGCGGTGTACCTTGGCTTCCTGGCAAGATGTACACTCACGCACCCAGTCCTTGATCTGTTTGTTCATGTCGGGCCAAAAATAGCGAGCAGTTATGAGACGCTGAGACGCTCCCTGACCGGGATGTGACAAACCGTGCAGTTTGTCGAATACGGCACGACGGGACGCGCGCGGCACAAAAGGCCTGGGATGAGCGGTCGAGCAGTCACACCAAATCTCTCGACCATCGCCGAGCGGAAATGCCTTAAGCCGATGCCTGAAATCAGCTGTTTCGGGGTCATCCGTTTGCTGTTCGGCGAGAGAGGTCAGGTCATGCGTATCGACTCGAATAGCGTTTACTGGACGAGACAAACAATCGGCTACCACATTGTCCACCCCTCTGACGTATTCTACTTCAGCAACATATTCAGTGATCACGCACCAGTGGCGCTGCTGTCTGTCAGACTTTGCTGGTTTCTGACTATGAAAAGCGGTGGTCAGTGGCTTATGATCTGTGAATAAGATCACATGTCGCCCGTCGATGATATTTTTGAAATGTAAGGTCGCCAGGTAGGCTGCTAGCAATTCCCTATCGTATGTGGAGTATTTCTGTTGGGCGCTGTTCAGCTTCTTGGAAAAGAATGCTACTGGTACTGGCTGTCCATCAACCACCTGATGAAGAGCAGCTCCCACCGCTACTAGAGATGCGTCGGTAACTAAATGATATGACTGGCCGACTGGTAACGGATGCTTTAGCATGGTAGCATTTACTAGCGCTGTCTTTGCGTTATCAAATGCCTCTGTTTCTTCATCTCCCCATGGAAGTTGCTTGTTTTTTGGATGAAGTCTGATAAGTTCCGTCAGCGGGAACACAAGCTCGGCGAAGTGAGGTATCATCCGCCGATAAAAACCGATCATGCCCAGGAATCGACGAAGTCCGTTCGAATCAGTCGGCTGCACGAATTCAGCGACTGCTGACACCTTGTGTGGGGCTGGCTGGACTCCCTGAGCGGTGATACGATGGCCCAGGAAATCGATCTCCGTCTGGAAAAATGAGCATTTGTCCAGCGACACCCTCAGTTGATGCTCGTGGAGTATCTTGAATACTGCATCGAGATCTCGCTGGTGGGTTTCGTCGTCAGGTGAGAAGACGAGGATATCGTCCAAGTAGTTGAAAACACAATCTAAATCTCTAAACAGACTATCCATGAATCTCTGGAAACTCGCGCCGCTATTGCGGAGACCCATCGGCATATAAAGCCACTCATATTTGCCGAAGGGAGTTGTCACGGCGGTTTTCTGAATGTCGTCCTGGTTCATGGGTATTTGATGATACGCGCGGAGCAAATCTATCTTTGAAAATCTGCCCTTACCGTGTAGGTTAGAGGAGAAGGTCTGAATGTGTGGTAACGGGTACCTGTCAGGTTTCGTCAAAGAATTAAGAGCTCGGTAATCGCCTGTCACACGCCAGTGTCCGGGACTGTTCTTCGGCACCATGTGCAAAGGAGAAGACCACGGTGAGTTGGAGGGCCGGATAATGCCAGCCTGTAGAAGTGTTGAAAAAGATTCCT